ACAGCATATGCTCGCAGCTACCGCCGTAGCATAATACCAATGCAAAACCGTTATTATGATGATTATGTGCGACTGTGAACGTAAATACAAGCTGGCTCTGGCTGACTCTCATTGGTCCATATTTCTGCCTGCATCCTCCAAATATGGTGGGAAGTTCTCAGATAGAAAATGGCTCACTGAACAAAGCTGTAGTGCCTGTAGGGCCGCAGCACTCTCTGGTGTTAGGAAGGCAGTAGTGCATTCTTCCCGTGTCTTTCAGCCCTGCTTTCCATTACAGGGCAGCAGACCTCTCTCTTTCTTTCTGTCTCTCTCTCGCTAGCCCAAATAGAGCACTGCCCACCTGGACCACTGTGACGGAGATGGGAGGTCCTGTTTCGCTGTATAAAATGTACATTTGACTGTAACCCTGTGAATGATGTAACAATTTCATTATTTGTAATATTGTTATTGGTTTATTTTCTAAAAATTGAAAAAAAAGCCCAACTTGACTCTCCTCATTAAAACATGAAATGAGATCTGTTATACAGCGTTCTGTGTTTTTTGTGTGCATGTGTGTGTTAGCCTCTGTGTTTGTTTTCTGATAGCACATTGCACCAGCGCCACCAAAGTCATGGGCTGAATTCCCAGGGAATGCATAATACTAAAAATCTATGGACAGAATACACTGTCATTGCTTCAGATAAAAGTGGCTACAAAATATTTAAATTAATATTCCAAGTTTAGTAGTTGTTTGCTCAGTCAGCAATGTTTGTGGCCTAATGTTAATTACCACTGTTGATTTAAAAAATGATTGTAAAATGTCTATTTAATCTAAAAAGAAAAGAAAAAAACTCAAAACAAAGTAAATTAAAATAATTTTCCTTATGAACGATTAAGCTATCTTCACATGACCAATAATAAAATGTCCAATTAACAGCATTTGTGGTATAATATATATATATATATATATATAAAATTGTAAATAATAAATAATTGTAAAATTACGGTTTACTTCGTTTTTTCTAAACTAGCTAAAATAAAATAACTGAAAGAAAAAAAAATCTGTATAACTTTTCTGTATAAAAAAAGAGGTTGCTTATAATTGATGAAATTATGTGAATAGTGCCAATACCCTAAACATTAAAATACTCTGATTTCTGGTAGCCAATGTTGACATTTGAAATCACCAAAACAAACACGCCCCTACCCCAAAAGGGTCTCGCCCCTATTTTGATAGCTCC